GTTTTATTTCTCTTCCCCCTTTCGCCATCACACCCAAAGGACGGATTCGGACACAACTATTTTTCTTCGAAACTGAAATGCCATCAAAAGCCAGTTTTTCTGAGCGGATTTCAAGGTAGCGTATTTAGCTTCCCAGGTCAGGAAAGGATTAGATGGCTTGTCCCAGCTTTGGAGCTTGGTATATTTGATTGCTAAACTCCACAAGGAGTTTGGAAGGGAACCTCTTCTTTATGGCTCCGTCAAAGATGCAATCTCAGGTTATTTCTTCTCCCGAGCAGCAAAAAAGAGAGATCATAGAATAATTGAGTTGGAAGGGTCCTATGAGGCCATCAAGCCCAACCCCCTGTTCAAGGCAGGAATCCAAATCAAAACAAGTCGGACAGTGGGTTGTTCCATTTTGTCTTGAATTCCTCCAGCGTTGAGAGTCTTCACCACCTCCCGAGGGCTTTGGTTCTGTTGTCGTACTACTCTAACAGTTAAGAAGTTTTTCCTGATCTTCATCCAGAAATCTGGCTTCCTGTAATGTGAGCCTATTATTACACATCCTGTACCCTGGGATGCTTGAGAACTAACGGTTAAGAAGTTTTTCCTGATCTTCATCCAAAAATCTGGCTTCCTGTAACGTGAGCCCATTATTATGCGTCCTGTACCCTGGGATGCTCGATAATGGATCCTGCCCCTCCTCTTTCACACTGATGCTGAGGAGTCAGTAATGTTTCCCCTTTGCGGGAACTGCACCTGACATTGTGTGTTTTGGTTTGGATGGGTACGGACTACGGGACTAGCAACAACTGGTGGTTGGTGGGCCACGATTGAAGCCCTCTACACAAACATGTGGGTAAACAAAGACACTGCATACACACAGAAGCCAATTTCAGAAGGAAAGGAAGACTACAGATGAGGAGCACCTGGATCTGGTCACTTGCTCACCCTTTAGAAGTTGCCTTATGGCCAACGCTGCCTCCCCAAGCTGGTAGGAAGGAGGGTGAAGTCACTAGGAGCGACACCAAGAGGTCACCATGGACAAGAAAAACTACATCCACGTTTGCTATCCAGCTTCCTACCCTGCAAGGTTTAAATCCATCACGAACCTTGATCCCTCCGTTGGTTGGGAGGGCGCTCGGGGGTTAGGTGGGTGAGACTCCATTTGTAGAGACAGGAAAACCGGACGGGTTTTATCACACGTCGTTATTGATCCATGTAGACCAGTGGTGCTCAAACTGGTGTCCCCAGATGTTTTTGGAGTGCGATTCCTGGAAGTGTTTATCATTTGTTGTGCTGCCCAGGAGTTGTGGTTCAAGAACATCTAGGGAACCCTTGCTCTAGAGCAGTGGTCCCCAACCTTGGGCCTCCAGATGTTCTTGGACTACAACTCCCAGAAGCCTTCACCACCACTTTTGCTGGCCAGGATTTCTGGGAGTTGTAGTC